TCAATTTAGACCGGTGAGGAAGAGAAGGAGACAAGGACTAATAAAGGGTTTCATTCTTGCCACTATCAATTCTCTCTCACTCTCTGTTTCGCTCTCTCATTTTCTTTCTGCCTGCTTACTTGTCTCTTTAGGCTACTGTGAGCTCGGCCCGGCTCTGTCAGGTAGCAATGTTTGCTGGGACAAGAGGAGGACCAGATGATAATGCAGAGAGAAACACAGTGATGTAATCTTTCCACTAACACTAGAGTGAAATATTGAAGGGTTATCAAGCCGAGCATAAATACGTAAATATGAGCCATGGGTTTAGTGTGTGTGTGTGTGTGTGTGTGTGTGTGCGTGTGTGAGAAAGTAAAATATAGATTGAAAGGAAGAGATGAAAAACAGCAGGAGGAGAAAGATAGGAAATAAAATAATAATAAAAGAGAATGAAAAGGCTGACGCAGAGGGGGAAATTCACCACCAGTGAATTGCACCCAATGTTTATTTTCACCATCTGCACTGTTTTAGCACTCCATTCACTAAACCAATTATGCAAAACAATGCAAACACACCAAAAAAAATAAATAAATAAAATGCGGTGCTAAATGCAATTTACATGCAGTTTTACTGTAAAGCTGGTTCTGCATGCCAGAGGTCCTGGATCGCTTCTTTAAGATACTACAGTGCGTGCATAATTATTAGGCAAATTGATATTCTGATCATATTTTTTTCTAAGCACATTTTACCAATTCCAAACCTTCATGGACAATTATATATCACTTCTAAATGATTAAATACACAATTAATAGTACTTATTAAGATTGATGTGGTTTGGAACTGGTAAAATGTGCTTGGAAAAAAAAGATCTGAATATCAACTTGTCTAATAATTATGCACACACTGTAAATGTGCATCTGGATGTATGTGCAATAATAATGCTCTCCATCATTTCATCTCTACACTAAAACGCCAACCCCTAAAAAAAAAAAAATCACAAAAATAGTTTTTAATAAAATATGATATTGCCTGCTTTTAATAGTTTTGTGAATAAGGCATGAATTAAGACCGAAAGTATGCTTGTGATAGAAAGTATGATATAATCTAAATTGTGAATCGAATGCACGTGAAAAATCTCAATATGGAAAAAAACGCTACTGTAAATACAGTAGCCATCCCACACGTTTAAGAGAATAAAACTGTCAATTTCTGTTAAATTTGAGAAAAATACATTGAAATGAGAATGCTGTAGAAACAATGTTCACTCAGCTATAGTAAATAAAAATAGCTAGTAAATTTAGCAAATAATTACAAAGAAACGGTAAATATCACACTGAATGAAACATTTTGAAGAAGAAAAACTGAAAGTATTTTCTTGTAAAACATGCTCCAGTAATCTTTGTATTATTTACATCCACGAAAATCATTTTTACAGTGAAAATAAAGTTGTAGCCTCTGAGGAAGATGCTTTAGATTTCAAATGTATGATCATAATATTTGTTTGATTATTAATAATGCATTTTTATTATGCATTGCTTTTTCACCGAACAAAACATTCATCATGCAAGAAAATACTATTTTATTTATTTCTACTTGAAAATTTCATGTTTAATTCAACATGTTACTTGCCATGTCTTTGTAATTATTTGTGAAATGAACTAGCAATTTCTGAGTGAAAAGTGTTTAAAAGAAAATCCATAATAATAATAATAATAATAACAATAATAATAATAATAATAATAATAATTATTATTATTATTATTATTATTATTATTATTATTATTAGCATGAAAATTGTTTAAAAGAGAATCCATAATAATAATAATAATAATAATTATTATTATTATTAGCAATTTCTGAGTGAAAATTGTTTAAAAGATAATATATTGAAAATTACTGAACATCTGAAAATATTATTATAATCAAATATCTTAATTTTACATACATTTCATTATTTATAAATAATATTATATAATGAATTGAAAATTGTCAACATTTTGCATTAATTAAGTGTTACTTGCCATTTCTTTTATAATTAATTGTAAATTTACTAGAAATTTCTGGGGGAAAAAAATAGAATAGAAATAGAAAATAAAATAAAAAATATATATTTTTCAGTGCATTCAAAATGTGCGCACATCTAACTCATCTAATGACTTGCTGGCACAGCGCTAGATCACGTTAAACTGGATCGCGGAATAAGACGAGGATTTTCGCTGCAACATCCCATAACCATTTCTGTAGTGACATCAGCAGCAGTTCATCAGTGCTAGACAGTCGCCACGGCAACATCGCCATGGCTACATTATTCACTGCAAAATCACCATGGCTACGTTTCTAAGCATCCGAGTTTCTGCTCCCGCTCCCTCCCAACTGCTCGCACTTTTCTCTCCTTCTCTCGGTCTCTTTCTATATCTCTCTCACAGCTTTTACCCAGAGTGCTGTGGCAGCAAAGAGAGACGGACAGTGATGATGTAACACACACACACACACACACACGCCTGCGTTCTCTGAGCTGCTGACACATGGAAGGACTTTTAAAGCGAGGCCATTGTGCTGACAGAGACATCAGAAGTTAGAAAAGTAACTGCTGTACCAGAAGCTCCTAACATCAAGACAAAATCCTTATGTGTGTGAACGCACTTGGCAATAAAGCTCTTTCTGATTCTGATTCTGAAAGAAAGCGAGGAATCAGCCAGAACACCCGAGAAGCGCTCGTCTCCTGTGTTAACTCTTTAGCTCCTGCCTCTGGAGTCAGAGGTCCGCTCATCATTCGCTCTCTCCGTCTGTAAGTCTTCTTACTTTCTCTCAGAGTTCGCAGCTCTTTCTTACACCAGCTCAAGGTCGATAGCTGCAGATTAACCCAGAAGCATCCTCACGTAACGGTGAGTTCGTGCAGAGCTCAGATCTTACCGCGGTACTGTGTCCGCTGTGATCAGAAACGACAGCGCAGTCGTGCCAGAGGAAATGATGCGAGGGAAACAGAGAGAAGCTTTGAGCCACGTCTGTCAGCAGCTGTATATATTGACCAGAGGTCGACAATATTTCATCGTTTTAGTTCATCGGTGTGTCATCAATAAAGCTTAATGTTAAAATTAATTATGATTAAAAACACAGTCTATCCATACAGTGGGGTCTAAAAATACATGGGAGATCTCAATAAAATTATTTTAATAAATAATAAAATGTTATATAGTTTTATAAATGGGATTATTTTCATTACATTTTAATATTTGCATATGTTTATATTTGCTTTTTTATAAAAAAATATATAAATTAATTATTAAAATTAAATAAAAAAAATTTAAAATATCAAAAAAAAATTTATATCAAAATGAACATATGTACATTCTAGACCACTAATTAAATACGAGCACTGACCATGTGAACTCCTCACAGACAGTCAGATATATTTCCATTAAAACATTCTCAAATAATGCGGGACAACATGATCATCAGTTTTTACGCAAATGTTTGATGTTTAAATGCGTGAAACCGGCATTAATGCTTTTACTTACACAGCATACAAAAGCATGTTTACTTCTGCAACGAATAAACATCTCCACAAACCCTCCGTGTCTCAAACGAGCAGCAGAAGTGAATGACAGACAGAAGCTAATTGATGAATTACATTGTGGCTAATTGAGATTGAGATGAAGTTCCTCTGACCTCAGAACGCATCCAGACACTTCGTTTTCTCTTTCTCAACCTTCACAGACATCTGTTTCCACTCCTCTCTCTCTCTCTCTCTCTCCGCCTCTCTCATTCATTTCGGGGCATGTCTGCATTACTTTCTAATTTTTCATTGGGAATTTGGAGAGAAGTGTGACATTTTAACGGGCTTGCTGGACTCTTCTCGTCTTCTTCCAGAAAACTCTCTTTTGAATACTAAACAGATTTTCCTCTCCTCGGTTATAGAAAGTCCTAAATGTCTCACTTAGAAAGACGTTCTGAGCTCCTATTGAGATACAAAGGACTTTTCTTTTATTCAATAACTCTTTTTTTTCCACGAATGACTGCATATGGCAGCACAGTTTTACCGTGCAATAGCCATTAAATAAAGAAATCATTTCATATTTACTTTTTATTTTAATGATGTGTCATCTAATGTCACCAAAAGGCCTGTTTTCCATTTCATTTCAAACGGCGGATGCTTTAAAAACTCTTCAGGTTTTGCAATAAATAGTTACAGAAATGCATCTGTCTGCCGAAGTGTTTCTGATCGGCGTGTTTTGTTTCAAAGCGAATCCTGGTTTTGCGCTTGTTTGCTGTAGAAAAACAAGCAAACTCGGCTAGGTCAATATTAATTACCACAGTTGTTGAGCATACAGCAGCTGCTGTAAACAAATGCATTTTCATATCAAATAAGGTCGGCGTGATCCCTCGGCTCGCACACGGATTCTGACGCTTGTTTACTAACAAGTAAAGGCTAAGGATGATCCACGGACGGCTGAGGTTCACAGCACAGGTGCTTGCTGCACAACCTGACCTTCATCCGTCAGAACGTACTGTGAAATCTCACTGGAATTGTACATTATACATTAAATATCCTCTGAACAGACACGTGTTAGCATGCAGTGTTAGGTCTTCATCTAAGCACAGAATGACCGTTCCCATTTCAAAGAAGCAATCATCCACTTTCTCATTTAACAATGACGGCGATGCTTATTGGACCATAACTGAACCATTTATTATTTTCTCACTGTTTGGGTTCGGCGATGAGAAATAGATGAGGGAAGTCCACGAAGCCATCGCGGCGGAGATTTTAATTGACTTCCGATTGTAAAAACATTGAGGATCTTAGAGGGAAAGTGCACGCAGAAATGAGCGCTGCCTTTGCGTGGAACACGAAAGAAGATATTTAGCAGAATGTTCACGCTGCTCTTTTTCATAGAGAGGAGCACTTTAAGTATCACAGCAGTGGGGATTCATAAAGTCCTACGATAGATCGTGTGAGGAAAATGATAACAGTATGTCATCAGTATCACAGTCTCAGAATGAACATTAGTGCTGTTTGTTCTCACCGCTGATGGTGACAGACGCCTGTGCTTCTTCTCCCAGCAGCGGCTGGCTCAGTCTGCAGCTGTAAGTGCTGCTGGGCTCCAGGATCACCGTCAGGACGCTCTT